GGATACGTGGAAAGAAAATGCGCTTCAGAGCGGCCATGAATCAGACAACGCATTGGAGAATCGGGTTAAAGCGTTCGAATTCGGACAAGTAAGATAAAATGATGATAGAATAGGATGCAGTAAAAAGAGAAATGTTATTCCAAAAAGGAAAAGAACGAAAAGAGTTCCTAGCGAAGACACTCTCATCGTCAGATCCAAGTGAGATTGTTTTTTCGCCAACATTTGTGACACGTTTCCGAATTGTTTATGAAGACAAACAACATTTTTCGTTCGTTTTGTTTCTATCGTATATGATGGGTCTCAAGCCAGTGAGTTTTAAGATAGAATCACGATTTTTTCCATGGACGATTCATTCGTGTGTTATCATGCCCTTCATTGACAGAGATCATTCCTGGAGACTTTCAAGATGTGATTCTTCAAAGAGAATCACATTTCTTGAGTAGGATTCCTGGTTTCCTCCTGACATGACACATTGGCGCCGTGTTTCAGAAGCTTTCATAATTTGTTTTATGAAGTTCAATTGGTGTGATGAAACATATGTGAAGATCAAAGCATATTCATTCAACTTTAGTTTTAACACATCGTATAAGACATCCGAATCGAATCTTTAAACAAAACTCGTTTGAAGTTCATGTTAAATAAAGACCATTGAGTTCTGAAATGAAAACAATATGTATCAGAGTTAGGTCTGATTAAGATCAAGATATTTGTGAACAAATGAGGCTCTAGAAACTTTGGGTACCCCCCAGGAGGCCCGTCGCGCGGCAAGAAGGCAAGTCAGCGGACGAGTCGCACTATAGGGATTTCGCGTCAAGTTAAATAGAATGTCCCATTGCACGTCCTACATCGCACATCACGCGCTGCAACTCGTCCGCCGACTCTGCCTTCTTGCCGCGCGACGGGCCTCCTGGGGGTACCCAGAAACTTTCTCTCGAACGACTTGAAAAACTCGGTTTCCGGAAGTTTTTGTGCGCGCAAACTGCATGGAGCCAACACTAACAGGCAACAGTGGATAATCCTACGCTAAGTAATGCTAACGTTTCATCTCCATTACAGAAAAACTCCCTCAGAAATGTGTTTTGGACATCCGCGGTGCAAACATGTGATGTAGTTTGTGAACCAAACCGAAAAATTGTCCTGGCAGTGTCGAATGAATAGCCAAGCTTTAGCCTTTCTAAGAGAACCTAGCTGAAGTAAGTACCGTCACATGGGACTAGAAAGTGATAGGAGGTGCCATCGAAGTCATTTACCCGTCTCAGCAGTACATGGTCTTCGGATGAATATCTCAGCCATCTCAACCTTATATTCTTCAGCAGTTTAAGATGGTGTCCAGCTTAAGCTGGTCTACAGTAATTGCCTCAGTTGGCCTGAAGCTGCTACCTGATTTCTTCATTCGACTAGCTAGAGGTCAGATTTCTAAAAGTGCAGCTCTGGCCTGTCCCCTGCCAAAAAATAACGTTGAAAAGTTCGTTGAGCTCGAAACGAGTACCATGCTCCTGTGGCAAATTCTTCCGATGTCCTCCATGTACAGGGGCGGGGGTGTGCAAAAAAAGAGTCACTTCCCTCCACATTCAAAACGGAATTAATTACACGTTGCGAAACCAAACCAAATGAGCCCAACTGCATATTAAAGAGCACATTCTAATCTATCAAAAAGTTACATAACAGCCTTCTACACCGACGACATCAGAAGATTTTCCCACGGAAACATGGTTCACGGTACGAGCTCAACGAGGTCGTCGAGGTACCATAGACCATTACGACGTCCCTGAAACGCTGGTCAAAAGCGGTTTTGCACAGTCACAGCTAGTGTCTCTGGAAGCTATTCACCAGTTAATCAAGAAATTATGTAGCAGCTTCAGGCGGAGCGATTACGGTAAGCCTCGTTGAGCTCGACGGTGACGGCAGATGACGTCATATTCTGAAGACGGTGGGGGCAGTGAAGGAGGGCCTGCTTCTGCTTATGGGGGACACCTAAGGAATATTCTGCCGTAAAACATTCATCAACAACGGCATCCTGTGCGATGAAAACGTTGATGATGTGCACCATGGGTGAAGTGACTTTTTTGGCTCCCCTCTCCCCCCCCCCCCTGTAGAAGGCTGGATGCTGTTCGACAGATTCGGGTGTGTTCTTCATCTCCACTCAGAAGATCTCGGTTCGGAAGCGAAGCGTAATTAATTAGTTTTGAGTGGAGAGGCAGACGCTTTTTATTGCCTTCCCCAGTAGCTTCATTTTGCAAGAGCACTCCCAAAGGAATGAAATCACAGTCAAAAAATCAACCATCGAAATTTCCAGTTGTCACAGCATGTGGAATTGGGAGAAAATGGTATAGATGGTTCTTACCAAGGGTATCAAATGCTCAACCAAATCATGGCAGAGACCTCTGTTTTGTCTAGTTCTGTGATTGGATGACATATTTGTTTCGCGTGGAGAAAAAACGCTGACATACAACGTCCGACACTGTTATGTCACTGTGGAGGCGAACTTGCTCTTGGCGGATTTTGAACGGGAATACGAGAAGCGCGTGGCGTATTACAGAGATCGATCAATGCTGGCGGCTATACCCTTTGAACTTTTATTTTGATAGCGCACTGTTGATTACAGTTTTTGTTTCTTGTGACGAGAATAGGACCTGAGGGTTGTGAGGATTTGAAAGAACTTGCAGACTGTGCTGCAGCGACAGGGGTGGTCACTATGTAACGAAATTGAAGCTGCTGTGGCTGTGATCGGCAAGGGTGCAGCTTACATCGGCTGCGAAACTGGGTTCCAAACTCGCCTTTGTTTCATTTTATTATTCTGCTCGAGCAGGTCGAGATACCGCATCCGTTGGTTCAAAGTTAGTGTAATCATCCTGAATCATGGTTTTCTTTACCTTCGTTCCAGAAACATGATATGAGTAGCGACTCTAAAACTTACATCACAGGGAAGGGGCGCTACAAATTGTGATGCAGCAGTAGAAGGGCTTTTAGTTTTCGCTTTGATCACAGAATGTTTTCCCCCGCTACGATTCTTTTCTTTCTTGGTTCTAACAATTGAAGTTTTTCTTTTCTCGTTTTCTTTCGTTGCCGGCAGCTGTACTTTTTTCCGATAGGAAAGCTTCATCATACTTTGCTGTCCGAAGTTGAACCTGTCGCGTTGAACGTCGCTGAATTTTCTTGCAGTCCTCACATCTTCAGGTGTTCTGGCTTTGCGTTTTGGGGATTCTAACAGACTTAAACTCCTTCGTTTTGTTTTTGTGTCATGGTCTTGATCCTTACACTTTTTCAAGTATGCCTGCTCATCTGACATCTGCGTCTTGTCACACTGAAACAAAGTCGACTTGATGCATAAATTTCTTACTGATCCTCTGATTCTGCATTTTTTTCAGCACGATTTTTTCTACATCATGTTGCGGACGTAGAAGCAGATATACCGACCGATAGACATGCTGAGAGATGGATCATGAATCATAAAGGTTTACTCGGCATCGAGAGTTGGGGTAGGCGTGTCACCGGAAGTGACGTGCACTTGATAGAAGCTATGTGGATAAGCTGCTTCCAACATACATCGCTGGATATCAGCAAAGCATGCTGGCAACAGCTTATCCACGCAACTTCTATCAAGTGCACGTCACTTCCGGTGACACGCCTACCCCAACTTTCGGATATCGACTGGGCGGCTTCACGAATAACTTAATTGCTAGAGGCAGAGCTCACGCAGTCCGAGTGGCACTATCAATGAAGTGAAAAAAAGAACGAAGTTTGACCTTATAGTGAAAAAACACCAATACACTGCGGTGCACAATAGATTGCACCCAATTGAAAATTTAGTTTTTGAAAGAAGCCGAAACTTTTATTGATTCTGCTGTTGATATGTTTCCTGGGAAGTAGATTAATATTGACACAATATTCAGTTAGATACAGTGTCTTTGAAAATTTTTAGAGTGAAATATTGATTTTTTGGCGGTGCACAATAGATTGGACGACTTGAGATATTCAATTTTTCCGACGTTTCTTTCCTGCTTTTTAAGTTTGCATGTACTCACGTATTATGTGAAGTATACGCGTTTCACAAACGAAGACTGGATTCGAACTGAAGCGTTACTTCTCCTTGGCAAGGGTGATCTCCAAATCCCTAAGGAACCCAATATTCCTAGGAGTACAGTTGCAACTGTGATCAAGAATCATTCCAAACTGTTCTGAAGAACAAGGTGGTACGGAAACCAACACTTCCTGAGCGCGGCAGGCGTCGTTTGATTAATTTGGCATCGAGTTCCAAAAAATGGCTATGAATTGATTGCCAATTGCGAGTTAGAAATGGGCCGTGACTCGCATTTTGAAAATATCGGACCACATAGTTCGACAATAAATAAAGCCAACACTACGCCTGACTCAATATCATCGACATAAGCGGCTCCCTCTTGCGAGGAGTGATATTAACAGAGATTGGGCAGCGGAGTGTTCTGGGCACATTTCCAGCTTTATGTAAAATTTAAATTTCTCATTTTGCATCTTACTTCTTCCCCAGGCAATTTCTTTCGATGACATTTTGTTTAACGGAGATGGGTGGTGTTAACGGCACTCGAAGTGGCGCTCTTGCAGAAGTGAATCCACTACTGGTGTCTCGAAGCAACATCGGCGGCTTCTCCTCAATGGTTTGGTGGGCATTCCTCTAGTGATGGTAGCCTTGAGATTCATTTTGATTCTTGTGAATGAGAAGCCAGAACTATCAGTCACTCCTCAACAACACGTTGGTACCATTCGTTTCTTGAGACTTCAACAAGCACTTCATCTTCGTGCAAAAGAACGCTTCGAACCACACTTCGTGAAGCACTCTGTCCCACTTTCAATCTAATACAACCCATTATTTTCATGGCCGGCATGTAATCCTGATACAAACCCTATCGGGAATACATAAGGTATATTAGCGCATAAGATCTACGCAAATGGGAAAGCGCAGTCGCTGAGAAATGCCATTACAAAAGTAGAAAACTCTACCGCCTCTGCTGCTTAAAATGTTAATTCACATCTTAAATATTAGGTCGCAACGAAAGTCCTGGCGCATTTTTTCAAAGTCCTCACAAACGGCTGCGCATTAACCTGGAGGGAAAATTTTTAACCATATACAGGAGTGGTGATATTCCTTCATATTCTCGAGTCTCACCTCCTGCACGCTTTTTGGAGCCTGGAAAATGCCATACGTTTCTACCCATGTACCCCACTGACTTCTTTGCGAATTTTGTCTGGGCCCCACAGCGAGCGAAGCCTGCCGCAAAATATGCTCTGTAGGAAGTAGAGGGAGTGGTAAGTGAAAAAACCTGCCAACTTTGGTTCAGAAGGTTCCGCGAAGGAAACTACAACCTCGAAGATGGACGCCCAACGAAAGTTAATTTCGAACGTTTGGAGCTGTTACTTCAAGACTTTCCGCATGCAAGCGCCAAGGAGCTGGCAAAGGAGATGCAGTGCTTCAACATGGCCACAGGTCGTGTTCACCACAAGCTGGAAAAAGTTAAGAAACTTGGTCGATTGATCCCTCATGAGCTGACAGAGCATTGCAAGGAAAGAGGTATCGGGGTGTGCAGAGGTTTTCTTGCAAGAAGTTGCCGTTTCGACTGGCTGGATAATGTAATTACTGGAGATGAAAGGTGGGAGCTCTACGTCCGTCATGCCAGAGAAAGACAGTGGATGGGTGCGAATCAGAAGCCAGAGCCTGTTCCAAAGCAGGAGGTTCATCCCAAGAAAGTTCCTCTGTCAGTTTGGTGGAGTGTTCGGGGAACACATCATTACGAGATGCCAGACAATACCACCGTCGACGCTGAGGTGTACTGCTCACAACCACGAAGGCTCGCGGCTGAATTCGCGAAACGTCGCCCGAAGCTGGACGAAGTCCCTCTTCTTCATGACAACGCGCGACCACATGCTGGAAGGGTAACCCAGGACACATTGGCGGAACTTGGATCTGCGGTTTTACCCCATCCTCCATATTCGCCAGGTCTTGCGCCTACGGATTACCACCCGCTCCTTTTCCTGGCTCACTTCGCAAAGGGTAAAAAGTACGACAACTGTCAACAGTTGAAAGCGGACATGGGCACTTCTTCGACTCGAAACCTGCCGAATTTTGAAGGTGGGGCACTTGTTCCCTTGTAGACCGATGGCGGCCTGTTGTAGGTACTTGTGGGAATTATTATTCGGAATAAAGTTCAATTCAAAGAAAAATATGAGCTTTTGAAATCGAGGGTCGAATCCGCCATTACTTTCGTTGCGACCTTAGTTCCAAGGTTACTGAGAAGAAGGGACGTTACCTCATTGTTAGACGGAGTAGACTTTACGTGTTGTTTTTTGATTACAATACATATCGTCCAATCTATTATGCACCGGCTCAAAAAGTGAAAAATTGTTGTCACAAACTTTGAAAAAAGTCGTAATGTCAAATAAATACCACAGATATTATTCTTTTGTCTATTCCTAAACTATAGTGTAGGCGGAAGCAATAAAAGTTCCAAGCTCTCTCGAAAGTTAAGTTTTGTATGGGGTGCAATCTATTGTGCACCGCGGTGTAGCAAGAAACGTAAAAGTTATAGGACTTGTTGTTTTTTAGAAGACGTAACAGAAAATAATAAGTTCTAATCTTCTGAATGTAAAGTTCTAGTAAAAGCAAAAGGTTCTCCAGTCGTACAGAAAGGAGCCAGAGAGCTTTTGCTGCTCATCGTAGGTAATTCGTAACCTACGAGAAATTCGCGGCAAATCTCTTCTGAATCTGGTTATTCCTATTCATCTGCTCTTATGGCTACCACACCGCGCCGCTTCATCTTCTGTTCCATTCAAGAGATCACGTTTGGACCTGTCCCCACAATCGGATCTCCACGATAATGGTTTGATGCAGTTATTCAGTGACGATAGTCTGCCGTCATACGTCAGGTTGATTTTGGAAGTGCTACTTGATACTAAGAAGGAGATTGCTGAGTTAGCTCGTCAATGTCGAGATACAGTCGCTGAGAATAATAGGCTTAGAGAAGAAAATGAGTCCTTGAAAAATCAACTTAGTTCTTTTATGTCTGTCAATTCTTCTCGCCCTGCCCAATCCAGCATCGACGCCGGTCAATTGGTATCCACGAGCCCCTCGCCAGTGGCGGATCCCGATCTACCTCGTTCGATAGTGATCGCTGGAATGATGGAGAATCGATCGCCAAACTCGGTCGATCGGGCGAATTATGATTACCATTGCACGTGTTCTATTCTCAATCACTTAGGTATCGAATGTCTTCCATCCACGGTATATCGTATGGGAGCCCCCCACCCCAACAGACCTCGATTGCTCAAGTTGTGCTACCCACTTCTAGGTTCCAGAGACTGGCTGTACAGCGCGCCCCGCACCTGCGGTCCTTTTCTCAGAGGAGTATTTTCCTTCGCCCCTCCTTAACTAAAGAAGAAAGGGAAAGCAGGCGTAAGGAGCGTATGGCCGGCCACTCTCCACGCGGTTCTGATCCTATAAGTTCCTTGGTTCCTCCGAGTGTTGTAGTTTCAAATATTCGTTATACAGTGCCTCAATCATCGCACGCGTTGAACCTCTGACTTTTCTTCGGCCTAGGAAATTCGGAGTCTCCTGTATGATGTCAAATGTAAGGTCTTCCCTAAAAACTCTAAATTTGTTGTTGCCATGTTACTTCAAAATAATTACGACCTAGTTTTCCTCTCGGAATCTTGGTTATGCTCCGGTACCGAAATGTCCTCCCTGTTAGGTGTTGCTAGTTCCCAATTTGATCACGTTAGGTGTGATCGTACACGTAAAAAAGGCGGTGGGGTTCTTCTTCTTATAAGACACTCTATTCCGTACAATCTTGTGTTCAAGGAATCAGTTGCAGGCGCATATGAAATCGTGGTTGTAGATACCTATTTTGGGTCCCATGCAATCCGGTTTATAGTGATTTATAGGACTCCTTCCTGTAGTGTCCAGGGTTCCTCTTTGCTCCTCAAAGCCGTAAGTGACTTTTGCTCCTATAATGGTCCTACCCTCGTTCTCGGTGATTTCAACCTTCCAGGTGTTTCTTGGGATGAAGACTGGTCGGACAAGTCTTCATCCAAGGATTTCGTCGAGACCTTTCGATCTCACAAGTTCACACAGTTAGTCCGCGGCCCTACCAGAGGCAAATCTTGTCTTGACCTTGTCTTCTGCAATTCTCCCCAATTAGTCAACCAAACTAAAATCTTGCCACCCATAGGAACTAGTGATCATGCTACCGTTGCGTTTCGAACTTAACGTCTCAAGTTCTAGGCCTGCAGTTTCCGAATTCAGAGACTTCAAAAACGCTGACATGAAAATCATCGATGACTACCTCTCTAAAATCGATTGGATTGGCTCCCTTGGTTCAGTTTACTCCGTTAATGACAAATATGAAATACTTCTAGCTATACTGAATGACGTCATCGACCGATTCGTCCCCATCGTAAAACCACAAGCGGGTTACCTCGTTTACCATCATCTACCTATCTAGTTCGTATGGTTGCGCGTTGCATTCCTAAACTATAGTGTAGGCGGAAGCAATAAAAGTTCCAAGCTCTCTCGAAAGTTAAGTTTTGTATGGGGTGAATCTATTGTGCACCGCGGTGTAGCAAGAAACGTAAAAGTTATAGGACTTGTTGTTTTTTAGAAGACGTAACAGAAAATAATAAGTTCTAATCTTCTGAATGTAAAGTTCTAGTAAAAGCAAAAGGTCTCCAGTCGTACAGAAAGGAGCCAGAGAGCTTTTGCTGCTCATCGTAGGTAATTCGTAACCTACGTTTGCATATTCACTGGATTGCCTTAAATGTTGTTCCTTTCGTAGATATTTCGAGTACAAATCAGCCTGCTGATATCGGAAAAAGGAGCTGTCCCTGTGCAACACTGGAACGCCAACTTTCGGGCAGCACTCACACTCACAAGTGCGGAACCTGAAGAAGTCATCGGGTACCTGCTTCACCTCATCCTCGTCTCAAAATTTTCATTGCAAGAACCGCTGGGAGCGGATGAAGAGGCAATGAAAAGGGAGGAAGGGGTCAAAGCTGTAGGAAGTCAGGAGGAGCACGAAGCGGCGCTATTGCGCTAGCTCAGCTTGTAAACTTTGCCGTGTCAAGTTGCAGTGGAGATTGAGCTTCCGGTCAAAATTGCTAGACGACCTAGCCGATTCTTGCTTTTACAGTCACTTCCAACGCTTCCTAAGTGGAACAAAGTCGAAACCGTGATTTAGCTCAGAGGTAAACCCAAGTAGAGATCGAGAGAAAAATGCCATATAATGATATGTAATATTATGAATCGAGTCGCGAATCCTGGAGCGAATGCTGGGTACTTCCTTCTTGCAGTCAGTTATTTTGCGGCATTGCAGGTGAGGCGTATACATTCACTAGCTTCCAAAATGAAACTCGAGCGCGCGGTGCAGACTGACAAGGAATGGTCGATTGGTCGGTCCGGCCGTTTGTAATGAGGTGTAGTTTGATGCACGCGTCTTGCGACGCTGAGCTTTCCCCACCACCCCACACAACCCACCCCGCCCCCCCCCCCCCCACCCCCACACACCACCGCGCCCCCACCCCCCCCACACCTCACACACCCACACAACAATCTAGTTTTCGGTTTTTGCTGAGACGATTCTCTGAACGAAGTTATGAGGGATTCTTCTCACTGCGGCTATCTCACTGTGGCGACCTCTACACCCCCCCCCATCCCACTTATCACACATAAGAAGAATCGCGGAGCATTTCGCGGTTCTTTCAAGGTTGCTCATACGAGCCCAGAAAGCGCTATACTGCGTTATTTTGTTATCGTTCTGTTCGTTCGTTCTGTTTTTACGCGAGCCAAGTGGGATAGGGGGATGTAGAGGGCACCACAGTGAGATAGCCACAGTGAGAAGAATCCCTCGTAACTTCGTTCAGAGAATCGTTCGGCAAAAACCGAAAACGGATTTGAGCTCAGCGTCGCAAGACGCGTGCATCGGACTACACCTCATTACAAATGGCCGGACCGACCAAATGACCATTCCTTGTGAGTTGTCTCGAAAACTTTAAATATCCATACCGTATAACCTGGCGAGCCAATTTCACTGCTGTTTCAAGCTTCTAGAGCTCGGCTCTGAGCTGACTTATAACAGAGACACGAAAAAACTGCGAATTTGCTATGTTCGCCAGAATTTTCAAATTATAGGACGATAACGTAACTCGAACTGCACAGCAATGAGAGTAACTCGATGAACCCTTCGCGTTCCAGAATTCAGTCTTCTGAACGCGAGTCTAACAGCACACTCTGTGAAAACATACCGGTAATTCGTGCTTGGTTGTTAGCTGTGTTTGTTCATGCTCTAAAACACATGTTTCAGTATGAAAGAATTTCCAATATCTGCGATGTGATTCTATAGGCACACTAGTTTTCTTTACTTTGGCTACAATTATTGTCGCACACATGTTAAATTGTGCAGAATTATCAGTGCGTCCATAATTTTTGAGAACTTTGGTGTTTTTCGATTTAATTACTTATCTTATTTCTCTGATGTATTTATTCAGCATAGTATACATCACCATTATTACCAACATATCGCCAATGCGAGGGTGGGTATTCAGTGTCTCTCTTGTAGAATTTCATAGAGTTCTGATCGAAGAAATATTGGATGTCGATTTTGACATGGTGATTCAAGTGAGATTTCTTCTCCAGAAGGTGATTGAGAGAGGAGAGCGGATAGTCGTTCGTTGACGCAGGATTAGTGCTACAAGGCGGAGCTAAAAGAACTGACCGCCCGAGAGTCTCCAATTTTTATGAATTTTCTTAGCAAGGTGGACTCGAACGACCTCAGAAAAAATAGGTCTTCCTTTGCTTTCAAGTTGAAGGCGTTGCCATCAAGCTGTCAACGATTCTCTGACACTGGTATTAGTTGGTGCCGGTTCCAGCGCAAAGCCCCTCTCGTATTCCGCCAACGACTCAGGAAGTTCGAATTCAGAGGGAGTTGGGCTTTTGCTGTCAGAACTCCCGAATCGTTTAAGCTAAGCTACTGCGGCTTGTGGATTTGTTAGCACACTGCAGCCTGTCGGATAGGCGAGCTCGCGTGCTAGGTCGCAGGATATCTTCAAAAACGTCAATATTTATCAGAAGATTTTTACATAACCAGCTGCCACTGCAGCACCATGTGGAATGAACGGAAGTGTGCTAAGCAGGTGTTTATATAGCCCTGAGAGTGTTATCACAACTATCCTGCTACAAAACATTGATATCTCAAATCCTGTAAGCTACCCGATTTGTTAGCGGTTTGTTTATCCCATGAGCTTCCTTCTCACTCACTTCATTTTGCGGACGGACACACATACATACACACACACACACACACACACTCACACACACACATACAGATACACAAACCGACACACAAAGTTAGCGCTTTATATAATAGAAGGATATACGGAGGGGGGGGGGCAAAAAAAGAGTCACTTTCATTCACATTCAAAACAGAATTAATTACACTTTGCCAAAACCAAACCGAATGAGCTCAATTGCATATTGAAGAGCACATTCTATTCTATCAAAAAATTACATAGGGGCTTTCTACACCGACGACATCAGAAGATTTTCCCACGGAAACATGGTGCACGGTACGAGCTCAACGAGGTCGTCGAGAAACCATAGACGATTACGACGTCTCTGAAACGCTGGTCAAAAGCCATTTGCATAGTCAGAGCTAGTGTCCCTAAGAAGCCATTCACCAGTTATCCGATTGAAGAAATTATGTAGCAGCTTCAGAATGGAGCGATTATGGTAGGCCTCCTTGAGCTCGACGGTGATGACAGATGACGTCATATTCTGAAGACGGTGAAGGCAGCGAAGGTGGGCCTGATTCTGCTTATGGGGGACATCTAAGGAATATTTCGCCGTATAACTCCCAATAACAGCGGCATCCTTTGCGACGAAAAGTTTGATGATGTGCGCCATGGGCAAAGTGACTCTTTTTTTGCCCCCCCCCCTGTATGTAGAGTGTCTCAAAATGTAGACCAACCTAATACTTTGCTTTGGTATACCGGGGTCTTACAACAAGGGAGCTCGACGCACTCAGTCGCGTGGCTACATCACAAACAGCCGTGACGCCTTGTAGAAACTTGCATTTCACATGCTCTTGATTATGTTCCTCAACAGTTTGGCTCAGTTTTGGAGTGTGGCGGAATATAATAATATCAAAATGGGTGCCAATATGTTTAGTAGAGAATAGAACTGCTCACTATCGGAACGCTACGATACATCTGTATCTCACCACTGCCTTCAATCCTGATCTTTATGCGGTTGGGCCCAAACCACCCGAGCAAGTGAAAAATAATGCATGGTTTGAAGAAAGTATGCCGGTTTGAAGGTTCCTTGACGTACATCGCTCATCGCATGAATTAAATCTGGGACGGTAGTGAAGTCTCCTAAACAGCCAGTCTATAGTTGGCCAATAGGTCACGTTGACCTCGCCTTCGTCCGCACCCAAAAAGCATTGAGAAAGGGGGAAATTGGGTTGACCTCCCGCAGAGGGCAAGGCCTAGGCCCTTGCCTAGACGGCGAACCCGGCAGAGAAAGGAGAAAGTGCATGGAGATTGCAGAGACGCAGAGGGTCATGTAGAGGGCGACTAAAATGTACCCCTGAGTACATTTTAGTCGCCGTCTATCTGCGTCTCTTCAATCCCCATGCACTTTCCCCCTTTCTCTGCACGTCATGCATTGGTCGCATTGAGCGTCTCTGCGTCCCTGCCATGCGCAGAGCGCAGGGAAGAAAGGGGTTCGTGGAAGGTGTTGAGTGTGGGCAGCAAGAAAGCCACTGGAGCTATCGATAATATTGATAACTTTCTGCCAATAAGGTGATCAGCTGTCCCCTGCAGTGTTCCACTTATTGATCGTGTTATAGCTCCTTCCTTGGTCCTGGGAGCATTTCACCCTGTACAATCATCTAGGCCATGATCCCAGTTCAAACACGTCGATTGGCGCAGTGGGTTCGTTCCTTGTTGACATTGGATCGCTCGCGGGATCAATTCTCCATGATACTCGATGTTTTGCAACCCTCATAGGTTACTACCTTGCTTTCTACAATTCTTTCAAAGTAACCAGCAATGCTTTGTGGTGCAGTGGCAAACGTCGCGCTCATGGGCGCTGCATTACATGGTTCAAGTCCATGGCGGGCCAATCTTTTGAGGTCCTTTGAACTTGATTGAATAGCGTTTATTATCAACCAGCAATAGAAGGTGATACAGGGATCCCTCGGGTGGTGATGGGGGGGGGGTCGTAAAAGTTTCGAAAAAGTGCGAATGCAAAGATTGCTCTCTTCTAGGCAAGTCGGAGGAAAAGCCTACTCGACCGTGAGAAGTCTCACCTTTCCTTTCCTTTCCTTTCGGATCTGGTTCGACTACTGCATGCCTGGCCGTTAGCTCCTGCAAAGAGAAATCCAGTTGATTAGTCAAATAAAGCTTCTTGAATGAGGAAAACTAACCGTCTTTACGTGTTGGATGGCAG